CCGTGTGCTCTGAGACTTTTGCTGAGGAGCTCCAGGCTCAGCATTGGCACCAAACCAGAGTCTACATTAACCTGACCACAATTCTTCCCACACTAGTGACTCTCTGAGACTCTGCCTCACCCAACTTGTGTACTGCACGAGGCTTTATCAGGAGCTGAACCTTAAGGGAGCTGGGAGGTATCAGCAGACCTCGGGGTGTCCTGCCTTTTTGTGAAGCTACTCCAGGCCCAGTACTGGCAGCAAGCCTCATCGGTTCGCAGCATAGCCTCTGCCATGTGCCTCCACAGTTACCACAGGCAGCAAACAACCACAGATCACTTTGTAGCTCCTACCAGGTAGTCCCCAGCTGGTCACAGGCAGTGGGTGACCTGGGCCTGCACCAGAGCCCCTCCCAAGAGGCCCCAGAGCCAACATACTTGAAGGTTGGCTTCAGACCACAGCAGAGCATCACCCAATTAGCCCCACAAGTGGTACCACGCAAGGGCAGTCTCAACAGGCACCTGCTGGGGAGAATCCCATGTAGTGAGGTAAGCCCTCCACACAGCAGCCTGTAAGCTGTGGATGTGGCCAAATCCCACAGCCAATCAGCCTGAGGGTCAATCCCATGCACTGATGTGCCAATAGCAATCAAAATTCAACTATAACAGGAGAGTACAATAATCCACACAAGGGACACACCTGGAGCACCTGGAGCAGGTGACTAAGGAGACACTGCCAGGCCCCCCAAAGGGCACCTACTACACAAGGCCACATGGCCAAGACTGGGAGGCACAGAAGAACTACCTAAAACATAGAAAGAAACAGAGAAGCAGCCAAAATGAGGAAACAAAAAAATATGTCCCAAATGAAAAAAAGAGGAAAAAGCTCCAGAAATATAACTAAATGAGATGGAGGCAAACAATGGACCAGAGAAAGAGTTCAAAACAATGATTATAAGGATGCTCAAGGAACTTAGTGAAAACTTCAACAAAGAGATAGCAAGCATAAAAAAGGGCATCAAAACCATAAAAAAGAGCCAGTCAGAAGTGAAGAATACAATAACTGAAATGAAGACTGCACTGAAAGGAATCACCAGCAGACTAGATGAAGCAGAGGATCAAATAAGCAATTTGGAAGACAAGGTAGCAGAAAACACCCAATTGAAACAGTAAAAAGAAAAAAGAATTTTAAAAAATGAGGATAGTTTAAGAGACCTCTGGGATAACATCAAGAGTAATAACATTCGCCTCATAGGGGTACCAGAAGAGAGAAAGCAAGGGACTGAAAACCTATTTGAAGAAATAAAGACTGAAAACTTTCCTAACCTGGCAAAGGAAATAGACATACAAGTCCAGGAAGTGCAGAGAATCCCAAACAAGATGAACCCAACAGGCCCACACCAACACACATTATAATTAGAATGGCAAAGGCTAAAGACAAAGAGAGACTCCTAACAGCAGCAAGAGAAAGGCAACTAGTAACTTATAAGAAAGCTCCCATAAGATTGTCAGCTGATTTCTCAACAGAAACTTTGCAGGCCAGAGGGATTGGCACCAAATATTCAATGTGATGTAAAGCAAGCACCTGCAACCAAGATTACTCTACCCAGCAAGGCTATCATTTAGACCCAAAGAAAACATAACGAGCTTCCCAGACAAGAAAAAGCTAAAGGAGTTCATTACCACCTAACCAGTATTACAAGGAATGTTATAAGGACTTCTTTAAGATGGAAGAAAAAAAAAGATCAAAATTATAAATAATAAAATGGCAATAACTATACATCTATCAACAATTACTTTCAATGTAAAGGAATTAAATGCTCCACTCAAAAAAGATATGGAAGGGCTCAATGGATAAGATAACAAAACCATTACATATGCTGCCTACAAAAGAATCACTTCAGATTGAATGACATACAGAGACAGAAAGTAAAGGGATGGAAAAAGATATTTCATGAAAATTAGAAAAAACAACAACAAAAAAAAAAGCTGGAGTAGCAATACTAATACTTACACCAGACAAAATAGATTTTAAAACAAAGGCTATAACAAGAGACAACGAAGAAACCAGTAATCCCGCTTCAGGCTATTTATCTGGAGAAATCCAAACATTACTTCGAGGGGACATGTAAATCCATATGTCCATTGCAGCATTATTTACAATGGCCAAAATGTGGAGGCAGCCTGGGAGTCTGTTGATGGACAAATGGATAAAGAGTAGGTGGTACATATTTACAATGGAATATTGCTTGGCCATGGAAGGGAATACCCGTGGCAGCATGGATGGACCTGGAGGGTATTGTGCCGAGTGGAATATAAGACAGAGAAAGACAGATGCAATTTTTTTTTTTTGCAAATATGTGGAATCTAAAGAACAACATAAACAAAAAATACAGAAACAAATTCATAGATACAGAGAACATAGTGATAGTTGCCAGATGGGAGAGAGGCTGGGGGTGAGTGAAAAATATAGTATATTGTTGACTGTATTCCTTATGCTATACCCTACATCATACAGATGTAGGGTATAACATAAAGATATAGTCAATAATATTGTAATAACTATGTATGGCGTCAGATGGGTACAGATATGTTGGGTGATAGATGGAAGGGGGTTGGGGGCAGGGTGAAAAGGTGAAGGGATTAAGAAGTACAAACTGGTTACAAAATAGTTATGGGGATATAAAGTACAGGGAATATAGTCAATAATATGATAATAACTATGTATAGTGCCAGGTGATTACTAGACTAGTCAGGGGGATCATTTCTTAAATTATATGAATGTCTAACCACGATGCTGTATACCTGAAATTAATATAAAATAATATTGAATGTCACCTGTAACTGAAAACTTTTAAAAGGGAGGAAAAGTTAAAGGGGAATTAAATGTCCAAATTTCCAGGTATAAAACAAACATGTCATGGGGAATATGGTCAACAATATTGTGATAGCATAGTATGGTATCTGATGGTTGCTACACTTATGGTGATCACTTCTTTAGGTATGTAAACGTTGAATAACTATGGTTTACACCTAAAACTAATATAATATTGTATGTTAGCTATATTTCAATAAAAATCATTTAAAAATATATAAAAAATAAACAATTCTGTATGATTCCACTTATATGAGATACCTAGAGTGGTCCCATTCATAGGAACAAAGTAGAATGGTTGCCAGATAGTTGCTAGGTGCTGGGAGAAGAGGAGGGGGAGAGTTGTTCAGTGGGTGTAGAGTTTCAGTCATGGAGGATGGGGGTTATAGGGATTTGTTGCACAATAACGTGCATGTGGTTCATAATATTGTACTCTACGCTAGGAAATTACTGGAAGAGTGAATTTTATCTTATGTGTTTCTTTGCCCCAATGAAAAAAATTATCTTAAGGATTGTTTCATTATCAACCATTCCTTTTAATTATAGATGGATCTTAATTCCTTCACTCAGTCCCCTAACGGTTAGCAGTTTGTTTACAATCTCTTTCAATGCACCAATGAAAATTCTTGAACATTGGAGGGTTTCAACTACTTTAAAATTACTTTTGCTTTCATGACATACCTTGGCCATGACACAACTATGAGACTAACCTGCTGTCCTCCGCATACACTAGGTGTAGTTCCATTTCTGAACCTTTGTTCAATCTGCTCCCTACCTGAAAATTACCATGCTCTCTATTTATCCTAATCCTTCTCCTTTATTCAGGAGTCAGTTCAACACTTGAGGCTAAGCATGGCTCTCACACCATGCATGTATCTCTCCTCTGAATCCAGTGACACTTCTTTCCAACATCATCATTCATAAGGGGATTTGATCCAAGCTTGGATTTCTGCAGGGATGGTGTTCAGACAATGCACAGCAGTAAAGCTATTCAAGATGTTAAAATACTGAAATACCTCCATATCTACTGAGAAACCTAGCTTTCCTGGGCCCCCTGAGAGCTCCTGTGACCTCAGACCCTTCCCTGAAATTCTCTCCTCCCCACAGCCTCCTAATAAAGCAACTAAAGGGCTAACACCTGATGTAGCAGGGAGCCTGTAGGACCTGGGTCCAGCACTGGGGCCAACTTTAGGTAAGTTCTACCTCTACGCAACTCAGACGAACTTTAAATATTTTATTAATTTCATGGGTTGGATCTTATCTTTATTTCTTTGGTATTACCCAAAGAAATAAACATCCTATAGCCAGTACTCCGTAAATACTAAATTCATAACTTGCAAGATTCAGGGCATCAAGCCTCCAGAAGCACATTCAACTTACAGGGGAGTGTATTCCCATTCTAAAAAGGTCTAAACGTCTCAAGAATCTCTCCTGAGCACCCACTCTGAAATCCCCTACACTCTGGAGACTTCTGCTGTGGTGCCACCAAAGCGTTCCATAATCTACAACTCCGAAGGTCTTCCTCCCTGAGCTCCAGGTAGAGTCCTCCAAACACCTGTTGGACATTTCCACCTGGAGGCCCCAACTGAACTGGGCACAGGGCTGACCTTTGGTTCACGACTGTGTAATGAATGAGATGAAAATCAAAACCAAACCACCTCGCCCTTTTCACTCTTCCCCAGACGTAACACTGTTTATAGCCTTTCCCTTCACCTCATTGACCCAATAGAAATGCCCCCTTTGTTCACCACTTCCGGTCTTCCCCAGAGCCACTTTACGGGAAAGATTAAGACCTATAGCCTTAAAAAGGGGACTGACCCCAAGAACTCTTCAGACTCCGGCTTCTCTTGACTTTGGCTTGAACCCTGACCAGGGCTGAACCAGGTCTCAGTCCCCTCACGTTCTCACTCTGACGTGGCCCCTACTCAGGCTGCCCCAGCTCGCCTCTCAGATGCTACCCCCGGCTCTCAGTTGCCATACGGCCCCGCCCCCCACCCATCCCCTTTCCTTCCGGACTCCAACTTCGCTCGGAGTTTTCGCGCTCCCGTGGCCCAGCCCTCCCGCAGGACCCCGCCTCCGCCTCGAGTCCGCCCCGGCCCTCCCCATCCCCACCGGCAGCCTGTGCGAGGTAACCAACGCACCCTCACCTCAGAGAAGAGCGCAGCCACATACTCCAGAGGCGCGGCGGGCACGTCCCCGCAGAGCACGGCGCCGCGGAGGCTGTTGGGCCCCGGCGGCTCCAGCCCGGTGCGCAGAAAAAAAAGCCCCTTAGTGCGAGGCGGGCCAGACTCGGGTCCCAGGTCCAGCCTCGGCTGCACCGTCAGGCCCCCGGGCCCGGGTCGCACCATTAGCAGCGGCCACCGTCCTTCGGCAGCCTCGCGGCCCAGGAAGGCGTGGAGTAGCTGCTCCGCCTCCGCCGTGCCAGCGCAGCGCTCCCAGGCGCCCGCAGCCGGCCGCAGGCTCTGGGCCACGTAGGCTCCCAGGAGTCGCAGACGTGGGTCCGCGCAGGGTTCCTCGTCCGCGTTCTCCTCAGCCAGAGCGGCCCGCTCTTCCGCGCTCGGCATCGCGCGCGAACTCCAGCTGCAGCGGTTTCCCTAGCGACGCGGACGCGGCCAGGGCTCCCTCCTCCGCTCCCCTCCTATTGGGCACATGACTACTGGCCCCGCCCCTTGCAGTCTAATAAGGTAAGAGAGGGCCGACAGGGAAAGAGGTGGGATCGCGTCGCTGTTGCTAGGAGACCAGCGGACGCTCCTATTTAGGGTCTGGTCTCTTGGCTTCCATGTGCTCAAAGGATGATTGTCCCGGACAGTGGTTTACTAATGAGGTAGTGGATGGAGGTCAAGGATATAAATGCTGTTAAGAATACTGCTAGCTAAGGTCAGATTAAATTCTTTAGAAGTCTCCAGAATATTATGAAAATATTATGGTTCTCCCACTAATTTCCAAATGTGTAATTCAAACTTTAAAAAACAATGTCAAATCATAAAATAGACATAAGGCAATTCAATGAAGTTTTTATTTCTTTTCCATGATGACTTAAATACTTTAGAACAGTGCTTATGTGACTATTGAACATTTGAAATGTACTGGTGTGACTGAGGAACTGGATTTATTAATTTTGCTTAATTTTAATTAATTTAAAATTAAATAGTCACACTGGCTAGTAGCTATCATATTGAACAGCTCAGCTTCAGCATTTTAATATAAATCATTAAGAAATAAGATATTTTTAGTGCCCTGCTTTGTCCATGGCTTAAGTGTGTGCTTAAACTGACAAATGGTGCATCTAACTCAGAGATCACTTTGATTTCCATGAGTATGTCCCCAATCAGTCCTCAAATGCAGCACAACACTATTAAATATGTAGGATGTTCAGAGCCTCCCTATCCTGCTCTGGGTCTGACTCTTGTCTTCAGACAAGAGGGAAGCACCTTTTCTGACCTCACAAATTAGCATTTGTCACTTGCTGAGCCCTCCACGATTAGGATGTAAATATTGTCCCTTTGCATATATGTAAGGTGACAATGGGACACGAAAAGAGACAACCTGGGCAGCATGATTCCTGTAGGTCTGAAATGAGCTTCCCTCTGCCCTACCACTCTGATTTTAGTCGCCAGAGACTGCAATTTCTGGGTAAAAAGAACATTCATAATGGGCTTCAAAGGAATATTAACAAAATAAGCACTTATCAAAGGTAGCTCTACTAACAAGAACCTCTTAAGAAAAGCTAGTAGCTAGAAAGTAAAATGATTGAATTCATTATAACTGGGGCATGGGAGGTGCTATGATGAACATGTTCACATTAGAAAATTAACCTTTATGTTGTAAAGAGTGTTTTATCATTGCTAGATTAAACAGTAGGCAGACCAACTATGAGTGAAGAGACAAAGCAGAGGCACTAAAAAGATTTTAAAAATGGGTTTCATAATTGGCATTTCAAAAAAAGCATTAGGGGCAAATAGAAATGTTTGGGGGCTTCTTACACATACAGTTTTCTAAAATTTTTACTTTGCACATAGGAAGGAATCATTGCCGTTTTAATGCTTAGGGCCTCCAAATATGTCAGTCCTGCTCGTGTTTTGTATATAGAGTGAATTCAAGACTATTAAGTTCCTGCAAACCTTTTAAATAAAGGGTTTTTTACCTTTATCTAAGTTTTGCATTACTTGTGTGAGCAAATTTCTAGTCAATGGTGGGTATCCAGAATTTGAGACCATTACTAAAAAGTGTTGAACAGGAATTATGTATAGCCATAATTTTTTTTTACCCCCACCATGGCCTATTTTGCCTTTCATCCTCTTTGTTCCTTTGCTCAATTTACATAAAAATAGAAACACAGGAGTCCTGTGGAGATGACATGAAGATGTCTGAAAGTAAGGGATCCTGAACACTGGCAATCCAAGCTTTTGAGTTTTTTCTCAAACACTGTACCTTTATCTCCTTTTTTAGAAGGGGATTTACCTTTATCTCCTTTTTTAGAAGGGGATTTACGGGGTGAGGGAGGGATGGGGGGAGTGAGTGGGGATTCTATATAGGATTTATTGAAAACAATTGATGTTGTCTTTATTTTGTATATAGTAAAAAATAAAGTAAAAAGTTACCTGTTACTGTGTGATAAATTACCCCCAAAGTTAGCAGCTTAAAATAGCAATAGCCATTTAGTATCTTGCATAGTTTATAGTGGGTGGGGAATTTCGAAGCAGTTTACCTGGCGGTTCTGGCTTGGGATTTCGTATAACGTTTCAGGGGCTACATCATCTGAAGGCTTGACTGGGGCTGAAGGAGCCACTTCCAAAATGGAGCACTCATGGTGGTGAGTCAGTGCTGACTGCTGGCAGGATGGTTCTGTTTCTCAGCAGGTGGAACTCTCCATTGGGTTCCTGACTGAATATTCATAGCACTATAGCTGCCTTCCCCTAGACCAGCGGTTCTCAACCTGTGGGTCGCGACCCCTTTGGGGGTTGAATGACCCTTTCCCGGGGGTCGCCGAAGACCATCGGAAAACAAAAAGATATTTACATTATGATTCATAACAGTAGCAAAATTACAGTTATAGAGTAGCAACGAAAATAATTTTATGGTTGGGGATCACCACAACATGAGGAACTGTATTAAGGGGTCGTGGCATTAGGAAGGTTGAGAACCGCTGCTCTAGACCAAGTGGTTTAAGAGAGAGCTAGACAGAAGCCACAATACCTCTTATGACTTAGCCTTGGAAGTCACACACTGTCATTTCTGCAATAATCCTATTAGTTACAGAGGTCCGTCCTATTCAGTGTAAGAGAGAACTACACCGCAGCATGAACACCAGGAAACAAGAATCATTGGGTCCCCTCTTAGAGGCTGGCTACTACAAAATGTGTTAACGAAGATACTGAATTTTTGTGATTGTTCAGATGGAATAATTTACTTTTTTAAAATTAGAAACCTGAAACTGCTTCCACAAGCATACCGTATTTGCCGGCGTATAAGATGACTGGGCGTATAAGACGACCCCCTAACATTTCCACTCAAAATACAGAGTTTGTTATATGGTCGGCTGTGTGCGATTTTGTGAGTGTGGTAAAATCGCATAACAGCAAAATCGCATAACAGCCGAGCATATACCCAGCAGCGCTGCTGATGCCTGAACGGTATGTGGAATGAAGTGGGTGGGCATCGGGAGGCCACTGTGGCACGGGGCAAGCACTATGGGCAGTCTATCTGAAGTGTACCTGGCATATAAGACGACCCCCCACTTGGAGGCATATTTTTCAGGGCCAAAAAGTCGTCTTATACGCTGGCAAATACGGTAATATTTTTTTATATCAGATGTTTCGCTTGAAATTGCTATGTATAATTCCTGTTCAACACTTTTTAATAATGGTCTCTAAATTCTGGATACCCATCGTTGACAAGAAATTTGTTCACACAAGCAAGTAATGCAAAACTTAAAGCTTTTTATAATCATTCAAAAATTAACAGTTGACATTATATTTACAGAATCTTAACAGCTCTTCCTTTTCTCCCTTGACAAATGTTATGTTGAAATTTCTTGTGATGATGCTAATGGATATTGAATATAAATCAACCTTTCCATTTTAAATATCTCAAAGTAATGATGAAGTTTTAATTCAAAGAATATACATGCATTGTTCCAGTAGCCTTCCTGCAGCCATCTTGGATGCCACTAAATGAAGACATCAGATACAAATAGGCAGATGTATTTGGATACATGTACAGAAGGAGAGTCCAGACTACTTGGGGCTCCATCCAGGAGACATATATAAGAATACTGATTTTTGACATTGTTCACAATAGCAAAATCATGAGAAATAAACCAAGTGTTTATCAATGATAGAGTGCATTAATAAATTGTGACGTGTACTATTCATGTAATAAAATACTATGCAGCAGTAAAAATGAATGGACTACACCTGTATGCATCAATATGGAAGAGTCTCAAAAGCATAATGTTAAACAAAAAAGGCAAGTTGTAGATGAATACATTCAGTATATTTATTAGAAGTTTAAACCAAATGAAGTAAACAATATTTTGTTAGACATACACACATATGTAGTAATCTAGAGAAAAGTAAAGAAATGATTATTGTAAAATTCATCTTTTGATCACTTATTGTTGAGGACAAAGAGGTATGGTATGGTGAGGAGCACACAGGGGACTTTTTATGGTCCTGGTAGTGTTTTCTTTCTTAACATGGATTATGGGGTTTCATGTTATCATTTGCCTTAAACCATACATATATATTATATAATTCTTTGTATATATGATACTGTATGTGTGTATGATATAGGAAGTATCACAATTTAAAAAAATAAAAGGGATGGATGGATGTGCCATTTATAATACTCTGAATGTTGTGGGACATTTCATTTCAGTTACTGGGAATAAATGCTAATAATGCATTAGGTTTGTAAAATTACACATCAAATATCTCTAAATTTTTAATTGATTAATTTTACAGATGTTATAATTAAGTCTATTACTGGTGATTTCTTTCTCATCACATTCAATAGGCGCTGTTCAGCCCTATTTACTTTACTTCTTGGCTCTCAACAACCTAAGCGGTTTCAGGTTTACTGTGACTGTGTGTAACGGGTTTTGTTTTAGTCTCAGGATTTCCATGACAAGCAGCCTCTTATTCTCTTTGACTATTCTCTTTTTGCCTATTTCTTCAATATTGATATTGCTTAGACATCTGTCAGAGCTTCTGGTCTTCTCAGTTTAAAATCTCTCTGTGTGTGAACTTATTCATCCATGGCAGCAATTTTTCCCTTTATGCTAATGGCCCCCAAATCCGTATTTCCAGCTCAGAACTAGGTAAATATAGCACTTTTGAGTAATACCTATTTTCCCCTCAAACCTCTGTAAAAATTGTTCTATTGCTTTCTGAAACTTAGTGTTGGGGAGAAGTCTAAAGCCTGCTTGATTTTTGTTCTTTCATAGGTAACATTTTGAAACTATATGATTAAGAAATTTTTTTCTTTCTTTTATTTTTATGATTCAAAAAAAATGTTTTAGGATATAGCTAAAGTTCCATTGAATTAATTTTTGCCTGAAATTATGAGAGCCCATTTGGTTCTCATAATGATGTGTTTCTTCACAGTGGGAAAGATTGTTCTGTGGAATCT